TTGTCAGGTGTTGTGTATCTTCAAATGCAAATTCTATATAGTAGAATGCCAAGTCACCTTGTACATATTTATATCAATCAACACTTTACTGAACCAGCACTACCCGGCGGTCAAGCTGATTGATCTACTCATCAGACAATTCAGTTGCTTTGAATGTTACTAAATATATTTACCTAAGTTTCAAAGTTTCAAAAGTAAAGTTTCAAAAGAAAATTTGTCAATCATTGTGTGTTATTAAGTAATTCTGATTATAGAGATATTGTATCAGATAGTTGTACAGGAAGTTTTGATATATTTTATGCTTGAACTATGTTATTATATTGTAGTTATATCTCTGAAAACCTATGTAAGAAAATGCAATAATATTTGGCCAAACTTGTATCTTAGTTACTGATCCTAAATTTTCATCTTTCATGATCAATCAAGGCTTGGCAAAGTTATAACTCAACTAGTCTTCCTAAAGGTACCTCCATCTAATCACCTAAGAAGATGATATGGTTTCAACCTCTACAAGGAGCAAGCCTTCTACTCCTCAACATTCAAAGGCGCAAATTTTTAAACAATTCAGACTAAAAGTATTTTTTATACAAAGAACAGTGACATCTGAATAGTCTCTGGTCAGTTTTGTAGAACTTCTTGTGCTGACCACTTTTGATTAAACTTGCACTTTTTGGTTATTTATAATTCCAATTTCATTGTTATTTTATGCTGAATGTTTCTGTACAATTTAAAAAGCTTTATAGTGGCTCCATCAGTTGTTGGGAAATATATTATTTTCTACCAAATAAAAAAATCTTATAAAATTCTATGCTTTAATACACTAATGCTGAACTTGAGTACATTTGCACCCTTTTTTTCTTTATTATAATTATGGATTCTTTTATAAAATAGTTTGGTTGATAATATATATGTATAAAGTGGACGACAGGAGTATATGGACACCATACATTTTGATAGGCCAACTTTTAATTAACAGTTAAAATTGTAAGTAGAGGGAGCTGATAAGACAAAATTTCAAGTATAAAAGAGTCAGACAAAGAACTGATCTCACCTCCAAAGATTGCAGACAAAGAAAAGAATACTGCCTCAAAATTATTAGCTAAAATCTAGACTGGTCTAGGGTTATTTTTACTGATTAGGCTAGATTTTTGATAAGTGGACCTGACGACTTTAGGAATTGGACCAGCAATAGAGAAAAGGGCTTCAGGGTGACAAAAAATATGGCGAGAGATGGAGTATTGGTGTGGGGGTTGATAACCTCTGATGGTGTATTCAAAGTCTGGAGGATGAGGAGAAGGCTGAATGCTGAAAACTACAGCTCCTTCACTGTGGAAGATGTTCTGCCTGTGATAGAAGAAATTGAGGCAAAAATGGGCAGGCAGTACATCTTCCAGCAGGACAATGCTGGCTGTCACACCACAAGGAAAACAAAAAGAGCATTTTAAAACAACAATATCACACCCATTGATTGGCCAGCAAGGAGCCCCAATCTGAGTCCAATAGAGAACATGTGGCACCTGACCAAGACAATGTAACAATTGTGATTCAAAAATTTATGGAAGGCAAACATATTTCGGATGCAACAGAAAATGCCCGCAAATCAGTCCTTTTACCCTAACCCTAACCCAGCCCTTGGCTGTATCTAACTTTTTCCATTACCCCTAACCCTTAGAGGAGACCCGCCTAAGTACAAATCAGTTGCTATTTTCTTCTTCCTAACCATTTCTTAATCCAAAATCTAGTCTTGAAATTTCTCATTTGTGAACATTTTCTGTCAACCCCACATATTTGACATGCTGCCTTTGTGTGAATCTTATCCATAAAAAATGTACAGGTATATTAGTTTTTAATTATGTTTTAGATAACTATATTTTGTTAACATATTCACACAGAAACACCTAGCATACCAGTTTGCACAACATGCCACAAAAGAAAATGTGCTGTTAGCCTTAAGAAGTTAACCAATATGGAAATTGACCAGTACCAAAAGAATAATAAGAGCTTAAATGATAACAGAAGTGATCCTGCTAAATTTAAGGATTCAACTTGTATCTGTTAGCTGTGTTATATTTTCCACTTTGTTGAAAGTTTATGAAATTGTAATTGATCCTCTTTCATGAAAAAGTTAAAATATGTATAGTTCTCAGTTAAAACACTCAAACTTTTATTAACTAATTGAAAAAAGAAACTACATAATTAAATATTTGAACAGATCTGTATAAATGGAATAATATAAATAATATTTGAGTATGAAAATTGTATGTGTAGTATTTCTCTTGCAAACTTTATTACAGATACTAACTAGAAAGTCAAGATTTGAAGTGCAAATGGATTATCTATTTCAAATTATCCTCCTTTTACAATTAGTTAAAGACCAAAAATTTGAAGCTGTTTTTAAAAGCTGTAGTCAGGCACTAATTGCCAACGATCTCTTAAATTCCACTTTTAAAATTCAACCTATTGATAATGGTCGAAAATTTGATATTAAATGTTATTTTAGCGAAAAAAATGAATTTATTTCAGAAATTGATAATGATGTTGACCAAAATAAAGTTTTAAGGGCTCCACTACAATCTAAGAAATTTATCACTACAAATATAAAATATCAAGATATGACAAATTCAGAATTGGAATCAATACTCAACTTGTCTGGCCTTTGTTCACAGAATATGCAACTCGTGGCTCAAAATTCTCAAGCCAAATTTTTGATGTTTGAATTTTTTGATGGTACAAATTATACATTAAGTAATTTTGAAGATGGTATATGCAAATGTTTAATATCAAAGGTATGTTTAGAAAATAATGACAAAGGCAAAGTCTGTACTGACACTGGCACTCAAATACATAATCAAGTCTATAATTTGAAAGGTGAAATTTCTGTTGTACCTAATCGCTTGCCATTAATTAAAACTGTATATGGAGATATTGATGATCCAATTGAATTCGCAAAGCATGTTATAAATCCATTAGTATGTGTTTCATCTGTTGTAAAAGTCTCATTACCTAGTGGATGCTTTGGTAATTTATTACCTTTACATGATAATGATTTAAGCACTTGTGTTACTTTTAAAATAACAAGTGTTACACTGGAAATATCATTTTTTAAACAGTTTAAGATCCATTCAAAATTAGAAAGTTTACTCAGTATAGTTTCTTATCTCAAGACAGAGGATAGTGGCATCATTAGAATGTGCAATGAAATTGAAAAGCATAATTTTGAATGTGAATTTTATTCAAGAAAAATTCTAATTTTTATTCAAAGTTTATCAGAAAGCGCAATTCAATTATGTGAAATTGAACCATACTGACTTTTGTTTATAAACAATAGTTTGTCAAAGGTTAAAATCTTAATATCTATTTTATTGTTTCTGAATGTTTAATGTGGAAATACTTAATTAATTGGATGAATATTTGAATGACTTTTTTTAAATACATTAATACAAGTACGTAATAAAACTGTTCAAGTTTCATTTAAGAAAAATTTCCAATTTTTTAACATTCAAATTGAATAATTTTTTTTTCAAAAAAACAAACTCTAATTCATAATTTCCTTCTTTAAAGTTGTTATGTTAAATGAATAATCAAAATAAAACATATTTATTAAATAATATACAAACTTGCTTTCTATTGGAAGAAGATTTTGGTCAGATATCTTCCAGTATCCGTCTTAATCTTGCAGATCATAGAAATTTAATATCAAATATTGGATATGATTACATTTCTGCTCTGGCATATTATATACTAGGTCAGGTTTTCTCTGGTCTTTGGATATCCTGGGGGGGAATACAGCAAACCAAAATAATATCAAAACGTTGCGAATCATGGGTTCGCAACACCATGATGTGGTATAAAGTAAAGGCCTAATATATCCGGACACTGTAAATAATGATAGGCCAAATTTTAAAACACCTCAAAAATGTTATCATTGTTTAAAGTTGATTTTTTTGTCTAAGTTAAGATGATTATATAGAATCTATTTTACCTACATGACATAATTTTTATATCATTTATTTCATTATGGCATGGGATAAAGAGGTTAGGAACCTGGTAATTCAGAAATGCAAATAATAAGGAAAAGTAAGGGAAACAGCAAGGGCTTTGGGAATGGCATCATCTACAGTAAGTGATATTTTAAGATATAAGCCACCCAAACAAAAGAATAGGGGTCGTCCAAAGATTTAAATTTAAATTTATCCCTCTTATTTGTGAAGAATTTTCAACACTTTTCCCAAATAGATAGTTTTTTTTCATCTAAATTACAACAGCTAAAATTGAACTTCTCCAAAGTATCCATTGATTGTAGAAATACATAGCAAATAGTCCAAAATTCATCAGAACCTTTAAGGAGAAAAAACTCTACATGTCCAGAAATGCTTATTGACTTAATATTCTTACTTGTTTTAAGTATTTGAATGCATTTTTCCATTAGGGTACAGTTACCAAGTTTGGTTAGAAAAATCAAAATCCAACTTCTTTATCTCTAATTTGTCAATATTTTTTTATGTTTTCTATAGTATAATTTAAATCAGTGTTACAAGAAAAGTAAAGTAAACAGTGCTAAAAACTAACACTTTAAACTTCAAAAATCACACATTATGGATGATAAATGGAACAACAAAGTTGCAGTAGTTGAGAAACATTCATTTCAGATCTTTCAAAACTTTCCCAAGCTTTAAAAATTTTTTTTGAAAATGCTGATAAGTTTTTCTCTGATTTCTGCAGATTTTCTTTTCAGATAGAAGCTTTTCAAAGACATTGATTAGATCTGCTTCATGTTTCAACTTTTGAACAATTGTGTAGAATGATGTTCTATTCCCAAAAGATGAGTTAAAATTTTTGGTGGAAGCCTTCCAGATCATTGTTTGTGCAAATTGCTCTTTTGAAACATGACTTAGCTGATGGAGGCCAAATTGTACTATCAATCTATGTATTTTGAAAGTAAGAAATCAGTTGAGATGACTCATTACATTCTTGCAGATAATCTTTCATACTTTCAAATTGATGTTTGATGTGATCTGACGGTAGAAATGGTAGAGAGAGGAGTAGTCTCATTGCAAACCATTCTCTTGTGCAATTTTTATATTGTGATTGATGTCCAAGCTCCTATTATCAATAAATGATTGAATGAAAACTATTAAAAAATTATAAAAAACTTTTTATTTATGCATTACCCCAATCTTTCTGTAAATTGCTTGACACCAGTGAAAAAGACATCCAATTATGTTAACATCACGTGCTAATTCACTCATAGTTCTCCATGCACTCTCTTTAAAATCTAGCATTACAGTTTTTGGTTGAAATCCATTAGTCAGTTTAAAAACAGCCTATAAAATATTAACAGTATTTAAAGAAATACCTATTGAATTTATGTTATTTACCTTGAATATAATTTTATAGCTGATTTTTTCTTGGATGAGCAGAATGCAAATAAGAGAGGGACTTGTTTCAATTCTGAATCTTTTTTAGAAATCCATGAATGGATCATTTGCAGGTTTGAATGCTCCATCAAGGAACCAAATATTTGTTGATTGTAAAAGATTAAGTTGATGGTCTGTTGCAAATATTACTACTCTTGTTTGCTATTCCAAAATATCCACTTTCAAGAAGTTTTGTGATAAGAACATTTGCTTTATAATAAATCTTAAACCAGTAGGCTCCTCTGGTCTATTTTTTCTTTCGTGATAGTTAACAACTTCAATGCAAGATTTTATTGATGGTAAAGATTCATTTTTGTTTAATTCAATTAGAGTTTCCTCTGCAATGCTTCTCCCATTTTGATGAACATTAACTTTGCCTTTCTCCCTGACATTCTTTTTCAAAAGAAGTTTATTTTCAATGTCTTTAACAGGACTGTGAAAGTGCTCAGCTTTAGATAATCTATAGGAGTAATTCAATTCAGTAATTGCAGCTTTGCACTTTTGCTTCTTTGTTCTTACACCACAAGTCCAGTATGTTGTTTCACCACAATTACACTTTAATGTATACCAATATCCATTATGTATCAACACATTTTTCCCTTTAGCACTTGCCTTTTCCAGAATTTTGAATGGCTCAATTTCATACACATGCTTTTTTCAAATACTTGATCATTTTCAGTTGAAATTTCCACTTCATTGCAAAAGTCAGGTACTGTTTCTGGAATTTCTGTTGACACTGCAAATTCACTAGAAAAATCTGGAATATGTTCTTCCTCATTAACCATTTCATCTGCTTTCCTGTGCTCTTGATAAACTCCAAAATGAAAGGAAAAATTAATATCAGATGGTTTTGGAGAAGTAAATTTGTCATTAATGTCTTCCTCTTGAGGTGCATTTTGTGATGGTGGCATTATCATTTGCATAGCACTACTTTCATTCAATTCATTCTGCTGAGTTTTTTTGAATTTGCATCTATTCAGTTGTATAATAATTTCTTTATTGTTTATTTCTTTGCATTGAGTGCAATATTTTCCTATTTAAAAAGTAATATTTAAAATGTAAAACTGAAATTATTTAAAGAGTCTGACCTTCAATACATTTGACATGGAATATGTATTTGCATAGTACACATTTCATTTTCTTTTCCTTTCCATGAAAGTGTTTGTTACAACATGCTGCCATTTTGAATCCTGATGTAATGCCACATTTAAAAACATTCATTTAATTCAAAACTTGCTACTTTTTACATGGCAAATAATAATAATACATTATGATAAATAAAGATAAATAATACTTACAATAATTACACATATATGACACCAGTTTTAAACCAGTTTCAATGAATTTTCCTTAAAGGTAAACAGCTTAAAAAAACAGGAAGTAGATGTAACTAGAAAAGAAAACTGGTATAAAATGAATATTTTTCTTATACTTTTAAGATATCTCACTAATCCTATATCAATTAATTTTTAAGTATTTTGTTGTAAATATTTTTTTTGGTTTATGTTAAGAACATTCTTTCTATTAAAGTTGTGCACATTTGCTATTTCAGCTGTGGACATTTTCCATTTTACTTGTGGACATTTTTCATATTTGTGTGGACGTTTTCCATGACCCCCCTCGGAAGATAACCTGGAAACAACCTCTACTGTAGCCATCTATCTATTCCTCAACATTGGAAGACAGTTTGGTAATTTGGCAACCTGCTTTTATGAACTATGTACTCTGCTATTGAACTCTCAAATTGCTACTTCCTTAAGTATTATTTTTTTGAATCAACCATTTTAATTTAAACATTTGTATAAAGGTTTGAGTAGAACCAGTATTGTTGTAACTTGCAAATGCATAAGTCGGCGAGGCAAGAGCAATACACTTGGATCTTTTTCCATCCATGTTTCCAAACAAATACCAGATAAAAGATCTTTTTCTGTAACATAGTAATACTGTTGGAATATCATATGTTGGATTTTCTAGTAGAGTATAAAGAGGGTGATTTGTTGATATAACTCATCAGCTCCATCAAGAAGGACGACAAGATCATTTCTCTTTTCAACAAAAAAAGATTCTACTATGTTTTCAGTGACACATGGAATATTTTTGAAATTTTGTTCAATTATTTTTTGATAGGTGTTTGAATGTTTTTTAACCTTTCTTAAAATGATAAATAAGCAGAATTTTTGAGAATCAATAATGCAGTGGATATTTGCCCATTTGTAAGGTAGATATTTGCCTTATACACTTTTGCCTATTCCAGGTTTTCCTTGTATTGAAACCTTTTTGCAGTCTGAATAAAATATAAAAGTGGCCAATGTTGATTAAATTTTCAGAGGATAGTTCATTCTGTATTAAAAAAGTTTATATTTTTGTTTGTTTATTGTTTGTTCTAGTCTTGGAGAAAGAGAATATAGGAGAAATCAATACATTTATATGACAACAAGTGGTAGAACAATCACCCTTCCTCCATTTCGTAATCAGGTAAGTATAGACCAGATAGAGTTGCAATTGCTCTAAAGTAATCTTTATTTATAAATTATCACTAAAATGGAGGAAAAGTTTTTGATAGGTTTGCATTTTTCCCACTTTCATTGCATTACCCTAATCCTAACCCATCAGTGATGGGTGTTTTCGCTGGATAAGGAAAGTGCTTCAACATTATATTTTGAAGCTAAACTGATGGTTAAGAAGTAAAAAACTCAAAGAAGTTTGTCAACTGCTGGATTGAAGTTGGAGTATAAATTCAAAAGATGACAGATTTTTTGAAAGTATTGGAAAGGATCATCTTTAAAAAAGAAAATTTCCTGTCAACAGTATTCTCTTTTAAATGTGACTAGATATAGCAGAAGATTAGATTGATATCACATTTAATTAAGTTGGAATGAACAGTTGGTTCCCAAAATCTACTGTGATTCTTGAAATGTGAGAATTCTGTTTCTCTTTTTTGACAAAACCTCCTCACAATTTGCCCAATTGAATAAATATCTTCCTTTTCTTTTTTTGTGTCTAAAAATATAGGCAATTTTGATTTTATGAAATATTTTTTACTTTTTTCCTAAAATAAATAGATTGATTAATGAATTAATGTAATAATTAATAAAAGCTCATTAACATTAAATATTTTTTTTTTAAAAGTAGGTCATTTTTAAAGGTAAGTAAAGCATTATGTAATTGAAAAATTTGTGTAGTAATATCGTTAATCATTCTTAAAAATTTCCAGTCTTTATAAAAGTCTTTTGCTGTATTGTCAATTTCTTTGGAAAATTCAATTGGAAGTGTATCAAAGGAAATAGTTTCACCATTTCCTAAAATATTCAACACTAGAAAAAAAATGGATAAGGGAAAGATATTTTAAAAAGTTACACGTCAAAAAAATAATATTTTCTTGATTTTTTCTCTTTCTGTACTTAAAGAATGACAATGAAGGATATTATTATATTTAGTAATATTCTTCTTATCATTATAGAGAGAAAATATACATTTTTCATTTCAAATCTCTGAATTATTGATATTTTAATGTGGTAGGCCTATTTTCTATGGGAGCATAAGTATTTGTTACAATCACAAAAATTACTCTAAAAGAATATTAAAAGTATTTTTTTGTTCTTATTTTGACTGTTATTTACAGGATATTATATTTTTTAATGCCTTAATATTTTGTGTGCATACCCTTAGCTTCTACAACTGCCCTAAGCCTTCTTTCCATTGTCTCATATAAGAATTGAATTTCCAATTCTGAAATTTTATAAAATTCCTCTCTGAACATCTCCCACAGCTCATCCTTGTTTCTTGGCTTATGTGCCATTAAACGTTTTTTGCATATGCCCCATATTTGCTCAATTATGTTCAGGTCTGGGCTGTTTGCTGGCCATGGATCCAGTGTTTCTACTCCCTTTCTCTCGAGGTACGCTTTTGTTCTGGCTGCTGTATGACAGCTAGCCCCATCCTGCTGGAAAATTTCCCTCTCCTATAATTTGGGACAACATGACTGCTCAAAATTTTGACATAATCCAAAGCTGTCATGCAATTAGACACTAAAGCTAGGCCCCTATCTCCATTGAACTTAATGTAGCCAAACACCATTATATTCCCTCCCCCAAATTTTACTGTTTTTGTGGTATATTTGGGGTCATTCCGTTTATCCAGTGGCCTCCTAACAAACTCCCTTCTCCTAGGATGCAGCTCAACCTTTGATTCATCAGAAAAAATTACTTTTTTCCAATTTTCAATCCCCCAGTTTTCTCTCTCTCTACAGAACTCTTTCCTACTTATTATCTGCCTCTTAGATAAAGCAGGTTTTTTGGCTGCAATTCTCCCATTTAAGTTATTTTTTCATAGTACCTGCTTCACTCTTGTTAGAGAAAGAGATATTGGTATACCAGAATAATATAATACCTGATGGGCCGTCCACTTGGGGTTTGATTTAGATGCCCTGGTTATTTGCTTTTCCATCTTTGGTGTCACTTTTTTTGGTCTACCACTTCTTTGCTTATCTTTTATCGTTTTTAGCTCTTTAAATTTATTTTTTATATTTTGTACAGTAGTTGGACTACATTTAAAAAGCTTTGCCACTTTTCAAATGGACATTTCTGGTCTTTGAAGACAATTTAAGATAGAAATTCTTGTTGCTTCAGATAGCTTCACCATTTTTATTTTAAATTTGTCAACTGTTAGATTACACATGCTCAAACACATAAATGACCTTAAAATCTGGTTAAAAGTGACACTACTCAATGATCAGGGTAAATTTTTTGAACATAACTGATGCTTGTGCTTTTCCATAAATAGGCCTATCACATTAAAGTGATCATATTTCTGAGATTTTAAATTAAAAACATATATTTTCTTTCTATAATGATAAGAAGAATATTATTAAATATAATAATATCCTTCATTTTCATTCTTTAGGCGCGGAAAGAGAAAAAATCAAGAAAATATTATTTTTTTGAGGTGTAACAGTGACTTACCGCCAGTACTGTATATATTTTTTGAACAGAAGAGCTCATCACTACCATATTTACAATTGACTATTTATAATTGACTATTCCATTACATATATATTTTGTAGGAATAAGTTGTTTTTGCATTCTACACTTAAACAGCCATTTTATATTCTTTTCATCTAAAAAAAATGTTTATTCTTTTTAACAATTTCTTTGTTTTTCTTTTACATTCATCACAAAATAATTCATCATCATTTGTTATACAATGATTTACACCATCACAAACTAGGTCAAGGGGAATACAAAAATTTTCTGAATGACATTTAAATTCTTCATGATGACAAACAACATCTTTACTTCGACAAGAGTAAAATTGATGAAAAGGAAAATAAGGGTTTTTATCAGTTTTTCCCAAGTATGTATAATTCCTATAGCACTCTCTAAAGTTTTAAAGTTTATCTTTGTTCTCATTCTCAATTTCATTAGAACAGGTTTGAGGAAGTTCATCTTCACCTCCTAAACAATCAATTTCATAGTTGCAGTATTGAAATTTAGGAATACATTTTTCATTACATTGAAATTGAGTATCGCCTCTGCAATCTGTAGTTATTGAAGTTGTTTTTTTGTATTTTCTTTGTTATATATTATTATTACTTTGGGAATATTTTGAATCAATGGCATAAGATGAGTCACAATTTTCATCACTTTTATCCAAACAATTTCTATTATTATCACATATTAGATCTTTATTGATACATTCTTTGTTTGCGCATTGTCTTGAAGATAAAGGGAGAATGTTAATTGGAGAGAAATATATTTTTTGTTATATTGTACTTTTCATTTTCATAGTTGCAAAGTTTTCTCACTTGAATGATCTATGTTGAATACCTTAATAAAGTATATTTACTGCTGTACTTTGTTGTATTGTAATTGTAGGAAGTCCTAGCTCGTCACTATCAAATTTGTCCTCTCCAATCATTTACCAATGTGCCAAAGTACTGGTCCAAATAGAACCTTTCAAGTTCGTCCACAAGTAGTCTTAATAAATGTAATTCCAGTAAAAATTAACCAACAAACACCAGTATTTCATTCAAAGAATATGTATTTGAGTAAATGAGTTTCTAGTTCTAAACAAGCAAGTTTGAACAACCAGCTGATGGTTAGAAAACTGAACTCACTACTGTTAAATTCGTAGGGTTTATATACTTTTCCAATAGTTCACAGTTCACAGATAAAAATATTCACA